TTGAAATCACCAAAACAAACACGCCCCTACCCCAAAAGGGTCTTGCCCCTATTTTGATAGCTCCGCCCCACATATACGTACGCAACCCAGGCAACGATTAGTTCTGTGAAACAAAGCAAAACCAATGTTACACCATGTCTACCTTTACTAAACAAGAGGTTAAAGGGGTAGTTCACCCAAAAATGAAAATTGTCATCATTTACTTACCCTCATGTTGTTCCAGATCTGTATGCGTTTCTTTCTTCTGTTGAACACAAAAGAAGATATTTTGAAGAATGTTGGTAACCAAACAGTTGAGGATAGCCATTGATTTCCATAGTATTTTTTCTATGCTTTGAAGTCAAAGGCTACCGTCAACTGTTTGGTTACCAACATTTGGTTACCAACATTTGCTCGGTTACTAGATGTCGGATCCCTCATTCAATGCAAGTTGGCCCTTTTTTTTTTTTTTTTTGCCCACCAAGCAAAAATCATAAGTCTGATCTCTTAGAGATGCACACCTCTCCTGAAAAATTTTGAGGTATCATTTGTCACCATGTGGGATGAGTTAAATGAAGATGTTTAATTCAATGACAAATTAGAGCAGGCTATTCAAAACCACATCTACACCTGTGAGTCACAGGCTACAGCCCATGAACATACAAAGCACGGCAGGAAATGAGTGCTTATCAGGCATCGACTTCTCCTTGTCCATGTAATCAAACTCTTTTGGACATGGAAGACACAAACTGATCCTAGATCAGTGCTTTTATTGCAAGGCGATTTATTAAATGCAAAGAATTGCCCGTTATATGTAGGTCAGAACAGAAGGTTACGTGGTGGACTGTACCGCTAGATCTGAGACGAGAATGGAGAAGGCTCTAGTGTTATTTTATTAAGGCCTAGAGCACAACAGAGAAAAACATTGTCATGTGATGGCTGGCCTCACAGGGATCAGAGACCTTATGAAGATTTATCTGAAAGCTGCTGGTCTATTTTTATTGTTGGCGTGTGAAAATGAAAATGCAGCTTTGTGATAGCACATTTATTTTGTGATTTATTTGTGATAGCATATATCCTAAAACTGACCTGTGTTTTGCACTTTCTTTTAAGTGGTACTTGCTAAACCTTGTTTCACACCGCACATGCTAAATCAGCGCATATGTATTTCACCACTTATATGAGGCGGTCACAGCAGTCACACCACCTGGGTTAGCAGAGTGGTGAAAATAAACCCCTAACCACATTACAAATGCCCTCAACACTAATGGAAAAGTTTAGAAAAAATCTAGTTTAGTCTTTTAGGTCAATAACATGACATATTTTGTTTGGTCGAAATCTATAACTTTATTTAAAAAAGCGTTTCTTACATACAATGTCTTGAATATGCCTCCTCTGTGATGTGCATGTTTGTAATTTCTGAAGGAACATTTATTTTGATATTTTTGGGGACATAAAGTCCGAAATGTCAAGGTGATAAAACTGTCCTGATATCATAATAATAATAATAGGCTTTATATATATATATATATATAAAGCCTCATTAAAAGAAATACATTTGTGAAAACAATGTTACTGAGTAGTTTGGCATAATCTTTTATTATTTATTAAATATTATTATATATTATTATTTAGTAAAAATAATCATATTTCAACAAACTACTTCACTGCTTATTAATATTTGAAAACTTCCAAATCAAAGTCATGTGGTGCGACCAGCATGCAGAAACATACTGGGGAAAAAATTATAAAACAGCAGTTTATATCTTATTAGATTAGTAAAATGTCATGTGGTGTGACTCCCCAAAATGTGATAATATTTATGAATCTATAATTAATCATATTTGTAAAAAATACTTTACCTTGAAAATGTTTACATTTAAAAATGTTTGTCACATTTACCAGCTTCTTTGTACAGTTACCATCATTCTCCTGCATTGAGACATTTACCAGCCTTCACACAATTTGACAGTAATGGTTAGTTTAGGCTTTATAAAAAATCTTGTGTAGATGTTGAATGTTGCTATATAGATAAACATGTGCCTCCCAGAGTGCATATATTTACATTTTCACAGGTATATAAATTAAAAGATGTCCGGTCTGTTCAGATTCACATGCTGTGCCATTGTTCCTCAGCTGTGCAGAATTTCAAATATACCAGTGTTTTTTTCTGGATTTCAGTAGGAAGGCGACACGTTTCACCCACTCACATGTCTGCCATATGGACACTACCCTCATCTCCACACATACTACACCGCTTCTTTCCTTTGTAAATGGCACTGGTTGATCTGAGAATGTATGAAGTTTACTAGCTGTTATCATCATTTCCAGCAGTTCTTTCTAATGTTCAGTTAATTGTTAGCAATTGATCACAGCCATTTGAGCTTGTCCATGTTAGTGTTTCTAAAAGTCAGTAGAATGTCTTTTATGTTTAGCTAAGGGAACTATTTAATAAGACACTCTGTAATCTTGGCAGAGAGCTTTGAAATGACTTTCATGAGGTCTAGTGTGTTTTCTCCAAATATGAGTCTTGCACTTGACACAAACACAAAAGTCAAGAAGAACCACTGCACCATGTTTTCAAGGTTTCATAATAATGTACTTATAGTGCTTGCTAAGGCAAGCATCACCATTACTATTGGTTTTGGATTTTCAGGGCAAACACAAACACCACTCACATTTTCTTCAGAAAATGTACGTTGTATGTTGTTGTTTATATTGCCAAATCGATCAGTGTTGCTGGAGACTGCACACTACTTCCTTGTTTTTTTATTGATTGCACTTCCTTCTGTTTACTGCAGGACCAGGTGAGCGATTGCGCAATGTGAGTCATTCTTGGTACTCTCTTGAAATTTCTGTTGTGAAATGCTGCTCTTAAACGTCACGTTGTTGTCAACATTTGTTCTTTTAATGCATTATCAAATTGTAATAACTTGCTCTGCCTTTAAAACAATGTCATAAGGCCATTTATTGTTCAACAGTTTGTCATACAAAAGCCTCTTTTCACCATCCAGTCAATCCCTGATGAATAAAATCAAGCTTTATTCTCATTTAATATCCTGTTTTGCTCAGAAATGCATCACATTGCGGAAGTAAAATGGTTTAACAAATGCCTGGTTCCCCCTGCCATCAACCAAGCATGACCCTTTGACCCATTACTATTCAGCTTATATGTAGTGGGAAATGCTACTTACTTTTTCAGAGTTTGCTCATTCTAAAGGTTGTCTTTGGTCTCGTATAGATGATGGCACTCACACATTAAAATGATTGATGGAGAAAAATAATGTGGAGACAAGCAACAATGGCTTTTGTCAGAGGGTTCCTTATTTTGTTACCATGAATAATGGCAGCATGCAAAACCAGCTCCTGCGCTTCAGTATGGTGCTTTTGAATACGTTTAACATACTGTAAATTGTTTAACAAACAGTAGTTGAAAATTAAAATTCTGTCATCTTTTATTCACCCGAACCTGTATGCCGTTCTTTCTTCTGTGGAACACAAAAGACGATGCTCTTTTTCCATACAGCAAAACCATACCATTTTAAGCTCCAAAAGATGGTCCAACTCCATATGACTTTTGTGCAAATTCTATATCTTCTGTATGGTAGCTTTGTGTGCAGAGCAGACAGAAATCTTAAAAGAAAGATATTTAAAATCTTGCCCTTCGCTGTAGCTCTCAAATCTCATTTCCTCAGAAGCATATTCAAAGAAAGCAGAGTGTTCGGTTACAAAAAAATGTGTTAACTATCTGCTTTTGGTGTAACTGATGTCAAACCTGCCATGATTTGTCTGTCTGTCATCAGTTATTCACCCTCATGTTGTTCTAAACCCATAGGATTTTCTTTGAGATTTCTGTCTCTCAATTGAAAGTCCACAGAACCAATACTTTCACACTTCAAAAAGTGCATTGTAAAAGTAATCCATATGAATCCAACCGTTTGATCCATGTCTTCTGAGACACAGTCACTTTATATAAGATGATGAACAGATTTAATTTAAAGGCAGAGTAAGTGATTTCTGGTAGCCAATGTTGATATTTGAAATCCAAAAGACGACTTTTTCCATACAGCAAAACCATACCATTTTAAGCTCCAAAAGATGGTCCAACTCCATATGACTTTTGTGCAAATTCAATATCTTCTGTATGGTAGCTTTGTGTGCAGAGCAGACAGAAATCTTAAAAGAAAGATATTTAAAATCTTGCTTCAAAAAGTGCATTGTAAAAGTAATCCATATGAATCCAACCGTTTGATCCATGTCTTCTGAGACACAGTCACTTTATATAAGATGATGAACAGATTTAATTTAAAGGCAGAGTAAGTGATTTCTGGTTTTATTCACGTATAGACATTGATCAAAGAGCAAATCAAATATGAGATCAAAAAATTGTACACGGAAAAAAAATTTAGTGTAGGATTTACATTGAAACAATGAAATGGCTTGTAAATTTCACAAATAAATACAAAGAAATTGCAAGTAACACACTTGAAGTAGAAAGACATATCAAAATCTTTGTTTTACTTATTTATTGTACTTGCTTGACACATGGGAACAAACCTCATTGGTTCTTGCCCGTCATCTGTTTCTCATAAAAATCTATCGGCTTCAGAAAACCTGGCAAATATGTGTCATGGACTACTTTTATGGTGTTTCTATGGTGCGGTTTTGGCCTTTTTAGAGCTTGACAGCCCCTGCTTTGCTTGTATGGAAAAGAGCAGCATGAACTTTCCTCAAAACATCTTCATTTGTGCTTCACGGCATTTGGGATCACATAAGTTCAAGTAAACATGAACAATCCCTTTAACAAGCTTCCCGTTTTGTCATGGTATAGGCCAGGGGTAGGCAAGTTCGGTCCTAGAGAGCCAGCTCCAACCCTGAAAACTAAACTCACCTGCCTATAGCCTTAGTAATCCTGAAGACATTGATTAGCTTGTTCAGGTGTGTTTGATTAGGGTTGGAGCTGAACTCTGCAGGACTGCGGCTCTCTAGGACCGAACTTGCCTACCCCTGGTATAGACAGTCACATCCAGCTCATTTTTCCCCAACTTCATCAACTCAGGTGAGGTGTTCAGCCGTATGAGTCTTTGTAATGGAACGTCATGCTTTCCATCCATCTTGAGGATTACAGCAAGAGATGTTGTTGACGTCTGGCAAAATCCCCAGCTTCCTGCCATTCATCATCTTCCTCTCGTATGTACACCCTCACTCCCAGTGACAGTCCCACCCATTTAAGTGTGTTTCGCCTTTTTGTTTAGGAAAATTATACAACAATCATGTGACTACGTTTCGGCATTTGCAGATTCAGGTGAAAGGTGAAGCACTTTACATTATCTAAACAGCTGATGTATGTGGACGAGTGTGTTGCCTTTATGAGGGTTAGCAGAGCTGTTTAATATATTATGAGCCGAATAAATAGCGTTGAAAACCATGAGCTGTTTTCATTCAGTGTTAGTGTTGGGAACTTGGGAACAGTTATAAAAGTATTGCATTTTCACCTAGTGTTGAGGTTTAAGGCATTAACGCTTCTCTGCGGTCCAAATTAATAATTTATTATGTTGTTGGTTATATAAAAATTATACAGGTTTCCCACTGAAAGGCATTTATTTAACAGTTGGTTCAACAATTAATAGCCACTCAAGGCACAGAGAGAGAAAGGCTTCTATTTCTGTCTGTGCTATGCTGTGTTATATGAGATGAATGGCATTTTTCCGCTGGTGGTGAGAAACCATCATTTTGACTCTGAAAACCATAATTTCATTCTGTGTTATTTTGACTATATGCTGTATATGAAACATTTTTAAGCCATTCGTTTGTAAAACCTTTCTTGAGTTAATTTTCATGTTAAATTCATAACAACAAATTCTTTAAGAATGCATTTGTGAACAATTTTGAAATAACATTAGAAATTTGTTCTGCTAGTGTTTAATGAATGTTTTAGAAAAGAGTACTAGGTTTTAAAACTAGTATGCAATATTTAAAAAGATAAACAATTCATACTTGTTGAATTGAATTTTGCTCATCTTGTTGCAGATAAAAACTTTGCGTTTTAAACTTTTTTGTCTTTTTTTTTTCAAGTTCATTTTGGCTGGCGAATCAAATATTACATTTGAATATGTGCATGAAACAGACACTGTCGTGGTCAAAATGCATCATATGAGAAGTTACTGAAATTTAGGAATAGTTCACCTAAAAATTAAAATTTACTCACTCTCAGGCCATCCAACATGTACAGTAGATGAGCTTGTTTGATTGTTCATCAGAGCAGATTTGGAGAAATTTAGCAATATATCTCTTGCTTATCAATTCAGAGTGAATGGGTGCCTTCAGAATGAGAGTCCAAACAGCTGATAAAAACACAATCACAATAATCCACAAGTAATCCACACACCACTCCAGTCCATCAATTAATGTCTTGAAAAACGAAAAGCTGCATGTTTGTATGAAACAAATCCATCATTTAGACATTTTAAACATGCAGGTTTGTCCTTCACTAGATGTTACTTGATGGACTGGAGTGGTGTGGATTACTTGTGAATTATTGTGATGTTTTTATCTGCTGTTTGGACTCTCATTCTGACGGCACCCATTCACTGCAGAGGATCCATTGGTGAGCAAGTGACGTAATGCTTAATTTCTCAAAATCTGTTCTGATGAAGAAACGTACCCTCATTTTGGATGGCCCAGTTGTGACTACATTTTCAGCAAATTTTCATTTTTGTGTGAACTATTCTTTTAACTTTTGGCCGCCTGATCATATATTGTGTCAATGAAGGGATTTTTAACATTGTGGTTGATTTTACGGTTTAATTCGTCGCTCTAAAAATAGAATGTCAAACATTGCATTGCATTGTGGGATACAGTATTCCATTCAGTGTGCTCTGTTGTATACTGCACATTTTTGCAAATGTAGTACATCAAGTATTCCAAGCATACAAAATATACAAACTGCATTCTGCAGAAATACTATGTGTAGTATGATAGATTGGAAGTATGCTATTCCGTACATAGTAAAAGTCGTTTCTTCTAACTGGAGGGATGCTTGGGAATGAATCAGGAGTGAAGTATGTGGCAAACACAGCCCAGAGTAAATTACAGGGAGTAGATAGAGAGGTTGGCCACGCCAGACACACCCCCTTCTCCCCCAGCGCAAATCCCTACAAGTCTGCCAAACTCAGGCACAACAGATGCCGTTTGGTTTACCAGAGCATCATGTCTGAAGCCTCAAACAGGTTTGCCCATTTTTGCCCAAAAGAGCTTTCGACTGATGTGTCACGCTTGTAAAACTCACATTAAACGTCATATGCCCATGTTTTCTATTATTATGCCAATATCCCATTATTCATGAGCATCTATAAAGCATGCATTGTCAAAACATGTCTCAGCCTGTTGAAAAAACTCAATAGCAGAGGATGGTGCTCTCATTTTTTCCAAACGCTGAGCTCCCTTAAATGATGGTGGGAAAATCCCAAATGCCTAGTTTTTCTCCATTTTTGGCAGCACTCTAGAGCTACTGCTCCTTTTTTTGCTCTCGCCAAGAGTACACGCTATTAAACCAGAGATGCTGTCACTGGAAGTCTTTCAAATATCCTTCCAAAAACACTTTGCTGACACCATTGGATTTTCTCTGACAAAACAGCAAAGCAATTGACATAACATTATTGGGTGTCGACTTGACTGAAGAGACCAGTAAGATGGCAGTGATGTTTCTTTCTTCATAACCTGAACACAAAACAAGGGATTCAATCAAACCAGCACCATATTTAATGAGGTGACATATATATATATATATATATATATACTGTGTGTGTGTATATATATATATAAATATATATATATATATATATATATTTTTTTTAATAGATCTGTTAATTTTTTCAAAAGTGCATTACAAATGCAATGTTGTAAAAGCTTGCCATAATTTTTAACATTATATAAATTATTATTCTTAGTAACTGCTTATTAATATTTTAAAAACTGTGTAAAATGTGTACACTCACATGTATTTTGACTTTGGCCAGTAAGCAGCCACTCCCTAGCAGCCACTCAGAAGACCCTAGCAACGCTGTGGGATCACTACTTAACATTACTAAAATGTAAAAATCTAGTTATGTCTCCCAACTACCATCACACCAAGAGACCTCACCCCTCCGCCACCCATTTTCTCGTGTCTGTTTCATTTTGTGTTGGGTTAATTCTGTGAAGAATGCCACAGTCATATGACTAGAAAATCCTGTTATTTCTTTTACACTTCATACTCCATCATCAGTTCCCACAAATATTGTTTTTAATACTGTAAAATCAGTTTTCATCGCCAGAGTCCATCTGTATTTCTATATTTTTTTTAATACCTGCAAAGTCAGACCTTGCAGGTATTATGAAAAACTTCTCACTGCTACTTCATCATTGATCCTGTGGAGTAAATTCGCCAGGGTTTTTTGCTATTTCAGCAGATGCCATTCTTCCTTGTCAGCAGTTATGAGCGCAGAGGCCTTCTGTTGGCCCAGTTGTGGAAGTATTTCAAAACGAACTGGATTTTTACATTTTCTGGAGAACATTTGAGTTTTGTAGCCATGCAGAACTCACTGGCATGATACAAAGGTGTTTGCCATGATCTATATGGCAGGTAACCTGTTCTGAATGGTTCTAAGTTTGTTGTTATGCAATTGCTAGGGTGTTCTAGGTCATTTCTAGAGCATTGCTAGTAGGTTTCCTCCTGACTCAACTCAAAAGAGCCCATCCCTAAGTCTCTATGATATTCTGGTCTCTAGATAAGACTCTGGATCCTCAAAAATTATTTTTATGCTTGTTCATAAATCATAAATTTGCTGCATGTAATTTGCTGCATTATTCATATCTGTAGAATGTTTCTGTGTGGAAATCCCTAACCCTAAGTATGAGTAAAGGGCCATTTACACTAAGGACGATAACTTTAACGATACATTTGAATAATCATGCTAATTCTATGAAAATAACGAAGTCCACAGCACAACTATAATGATAACGATACAGGAACGATATTGTTGAAAACACTTTCAAGCTGAGAATCGATGAAAACACTCACCGCCAATCAGAATCAATCTGACTTTAAAGGTATCAAGCATTTAAAGTGGCAGAAGACAAAACTGCAGTGCTGTAGAATGTTTCTGTGTGGAAATCCCTAACCCTAAGTATGAGTAAAAATGATTAAAAAATAATCATGCTAATTCTATGAAAATAACGAAGTCCACAGCACAACTATAATGATAACGATACAGGAACGATATTGTTGAAAACACTTTCAAGCTGAGAATCGATGAAAACACTCACCGCCAATCAGAATCAATCTGACTTTAAAGTTATCAAGCATTTAAAGTGGCAGAAGACAAAACTGCAGTGCACTTATAATAAACTGAACGTTAATTTTTGATGGTGTGGATGCTAATATAGCTATGGTTCTTGGTGTGATCAGGCCTTAAAGGATTAGTTCACTTCCTGAATAAATATTTCCTGATAATTTACTCACCCACATGCCATCCAAGATGTTTATGTCTTTCTTTCTTCAGTCGCAAAGAAATTAAGGTTTTTGAGGAAAACGTTCCAGGATTTTTCTCCATATAATGGACTTCAATGGGAACCAACGGGTTGAAGGTCCAAATTGCAGTTTCAGTGCAGCTTCAAAGGGCTCTACACGATCCCAGCCGAGGAATAAGGCTCTTATCTAGCGAAACGATTGGTAATTTTCTAAAAAACATAAAAATGTATATACTTTTTTAACCACAAATGCACATCTTGCACCAGCTCCGCGATGCGCGTCTGCAAATTCATGCATGACGTATTCACGTTGGAAAGGTCACGCTTGGTTAGCTCTTCGTCTGTGTGCTCCGGTTCAGAAAGGCAGGGCGAAAAACTTCATCTCATTTTCTCCTCCAACTTCACAATCATCCGACATCGTTGTTTGTCTTTCTTTGGACGTTCACATTGTAAACACTGGGTCGGTACTTCCGCCTACGTTACGCGTGACCTTTCCAACGTGACTTAATGTGTGAAGTCCAGCTAGTGCAAGACAAGCATTTGTGGTTAAAAAGTGCTAATCCTTTTACAGAAATAGTGATGCATACATGGCTAAAACTTCAGTTTTGACACAAACACCTAGCATATGCATGCAGTTGAATGCATAGCTTTTCAAAGTGTACTCCATTTGATAGTATGCG